GGAGTAGAAATAGGCAGTAAAAAGAAATTATTTGAGTATTAATGATTATTGGCACTATAAGGGAATTGAGCCAACAAGTGATTCAAGTCTCAATAGATGCCACAATTATGCCACAAATTTCCCTATCCTTGAAGCAAAACTCAACAACCAAATGCTTACATGGCGAACTAAATATATCCTAGAAATGCCTAGTAGGATTTTATTTTTTTAAATTCTAAGATATGGACTTCAGATGGCCACAAGCCACAATAGTTGATTATATCCTATCATGATGCTATGTGTTTATGTATAGTCTTATTAAAAATCGAACAACACAAACAAGTAAGAAAAATACAACAATAATAACAACATCAAGCCTTTATCCCACTACATGGGGTTGGCTACATGAATCCTTTTTCTCCATTGTGTCCAGTTAAGAGTCAAATTCTCATTTAGATCTAATAAAGAAATGTCATTTCTAATATTTTATAACCAAGTATTTTTAGGTCTACCTCAACTTTTCTTAACATAGGTTAAATCTAATATATCTACTCTCCTAACCGGGTCATCGGAAGGCCGTCGTTTTATGTGACCAAACTATCCAATGCGACTCTCAAATCTTGTCTGCCACTGGAGCTACTCCAACCTTTTCACATATATGCTCATTTTGTATCTTGTCTAAAAGAGTAAAGCCACTCATCCACCTGAACATTTAATATTATGCTTCTCTTTTAATGTCCAACATTTTGCACCATAAATATTGCAGGTCTAACCACCATCTTATAGAATTTTTCCTTAAGTTTGAGTGGTACCTTTCTATCCTACAACAAACTCGATGCATTCCTCCACTTCATCCATCCAAATTTAATTCTACTAATAAAATTCCTATCTATTTCACCATCAATCTAAACAATAGATCCAATATATCTAAAACGTGTACTCTTATTAATGACTTGATCGCTTAAAGTGACAAACTCCCCACTATATATATTAATACTAAAATTACACTCCATTTATTCAATTTTAGATCTACTCAAACAAAAAGATTTAGACACTAAGGTTGATCTCCATAATTCAAGTTTACCTTCAACTCCCTCAATTTTATCAACAAGAAGAATATATTCAGCAAAAAAAATATACACTAGGGAACATCCTCTTGCAGATCTCTAGTAAGAACATCCATGAATAAAGCAAAAGATGTGAGATTAAGGCTGATCCTTGATGTAATCCAACTGAAATTGGAAAATAATTGGTCAAGCCACCTTATGTTTGACCACAAGTAACAGCTCTAGCATACATATAATACATAAAACACTGTTATTGCCAGGTCCCAAGCCCTGGATGAGAAAAGTGGAGGGTTGCGTTAGGTAGTCAACAATCAACATAAAACTTGTTGAAAAATTATGTAAACAAGTAAGAAAAATAATGTAAAAATTTAAATAGAAAAAAGTAGGTGAACTAACTACTTTTATTATTGCATGAATAAGAGGCTCATGATTTTGTAAAAGAATAAAGCTTATTGAATTACAATGTCAATCCAATAGCTAAGATCTACAAGGACACACAAAGACTTGGTGAGTAGCCGCCTCGATTGGGCCTGTAATAGCTTATAACTCAAGCTAAGGGATTTATTGTCAGAGAGTTGACGTGTCCACATAATGCTAGGTGGTCAGCCTATTCAGTATGAACTAGGAATTTAATGGCTCTCTAGCTGGAGCAATTATTAGGTCCTTTCACTGGATGTAGAGGAAGGTTCGGTTTTAGGCAAAAATAGGTCAAAAAGTGCAAATACCGAGTTTTTTGAAAAACTCGGTATTTTTTCAAAAAACTCGGTATTTGCACTTTTTTAGGCAAAACCGAACCTTCCTCTAGGTCCTTGCACCGGACCAAATAAAAGTTCCTCTAGCTGGCATAAAGGGTTTTCGATCCAAATGTAGCGAGAGAGTGATGAGCCAAATCAAAACTAGCATTTTGAAAGCTATTAACCTTGTTGCTATTGATCATGTAAGTTTGTAGGGTGCATTTGTTAGCAAGATGACTGAAGGAAACATTTAGTCCTTACATGACATAGCAGTGCTATCTTGCTGAAGGTAATGATGCTTTTTCATAAGAGACAACTCTTGAAATAGTTGATTACTATGAGGGTGAAAGTACATGGACAATGATAAGACATGTGATGCACGAAAGATGAATATCAAACCTTTATAAATGGAACTTTCTAATAACCTAGGGGAGGTGTCGAGACCAGACGCCTAGGGTTGTAATGCTACACTAATAAGAAGCCTAGTTATGGGGTATGAAGACATTGACCTTCTATGGTATGTCATGAGGACAAAGTAGATAGAAGAATAGTCTTGAGGTTAGGACTTGGTGATGATTGAGCAATAGGGGTTCAACACCAAAAAAGGAGCGTGAAGATATGTGTTTGTAAGTTACCCTACTCACCGGGTCAACAATCGTGAGTCATCGACACTCTTGATATCCTTGTTGTAGTAAACTGAGATGGGAACATAAAGAGAACAATTGAAGACTTCTAAAACCAACTTTATTGTTAAGAATCCTTTGGCTCTCCTTTGAACTTCCAAAGGTTCACATATGTAGAATTGTTGTCGAATGTGTTTTTTTCTAATTAATCATAGGGAAGTCTAATAGGGTAACCATCTAACTACATGGATGTCAAGGGAAGGGGGATTTATAGGAGAGAAAAGTTGGCAAGCTTGATTTTCATGTTCGTAAATGCTAAATAGAGAACCAATGCAACAATCTTGACCTTTGAATCACCCAATAAAATGAAAAGGAGACAACTTGCTTTCATAGTCTCCTTTTTTCCCACCAAGGAGAGAGAAAAACAGCAGCACATATGTGTTGCAAGCAATACTAGGGGTCTTTGGAGTCAATTAGAAGAATAATAGACATGCCCATTTGGGTGCTTGGTTGTTGAGGAGATGCCAACAAACCTTCTGGGAGCCTAATCATCAGGAAGAAAAGCCAATAGTTTCACCTAAGGCATAGTCATCGAGCACTGTGGCCTAGAAATGCAGAACATGGTGATCAAAGAGAGTCATCAACACTTGATTTAAGGCATCAACTAAATGCCAAAATATGCTAGATAGAAGTTGATCAGGGCCGAGTCCAAAAAGGGAAATGAGCCATTAAATCATGTTGTGGGCACTAACTATTCAAATTTTAAGGCAAGCGATTCAAAGAATAAATCCCATTTTTTGGCACCATTCCTCACAAGTATAAAGATAAGAAGTTATTTGTTTGATGGATTAGGATGAATGCAATTACAAAAATATGTCAGAAGATATGAGAATTGAGAGGCTGCTAAAGTAAAACATTAAAGTCCAAGTGAAATACTATCCTAGCCTATATTGGAATGTAAGTTGATGGATAATGTTGATTTTTTTATGAGATTTCATGAATTTAGATAGGTTTATGAGTCAATTTGGGTGATTGTAAGTAGATTAATGAAGCTAACTCCTTCATTATCAATCATATTATTTATTTAATTAAAAAATAGCTTAGTTGCATGTGAATAAGATAGTAAGACTTATGATAATCCTCAAGTAATCATAACATATAGAAATTGTTAATTCACATCCAAATTATGGAGATGTATGATTTGAGGATTAAATCTAACTTCAACATACCATTCTATCTCTTGAAAATTGAGCAGTTTGAAAGAATGATTTAAATTTTGAAAGATTTAATGAGACTACGGTTGTATTTAATTTAGAGGAAGCTAGGAAGATCACATCTCAATGATAGAGTTTATAAATAACAATAATATCAATCCAATATTAGGATAGCTCCTTAAAAAGCATTGTATAATAGTTAGTATAAAAGTCCATTGGGTTGAGATAAGATTAGATAAATGTAAATGATTGAAGTCAAACTAGTTAATTACATAGAGAAAACTTCAATTATAGGGATTAATTGAAAGCAACTCAAGACAAATAGAGAAATATTCTAATATTAACCATAGAACACAGAAATTCTAAATTGGGGACTTTTTGCATGCAAAGAATTTCCAAATAATTCCAAGAGGATAAAGCCATCAAACACCATCCAATCCCAAAAAAATATAATAATAAAGCCATAATCTACCACTTGAAAGTTTCACATCATCTATCTTTGAACCCTATTGTAGAACAAACTTAGGCTTTATTTAAGACAGCTTTCTTAATGCTCCTTAAAGAAATTTTTTAGTGCAAAAATTAAAATTTTTGTATTAAAAAGCTGCTTTAAGAAGCAGTAAAAAAGCAACCCAAACAAATCCTTACTGGCATTCAGTTCTAGCATGAATGTTCGGTCAACACTCTCCTCTCTCTTCTTCAATATCCAATAATGTTTCAGTATTCAAATTGGTCTAAGTATTTATTTTAGTTAAATTACTTTCCATGAGTATTAATTATCTAATAATTGTGTAGGTAATCTTTATAAGTACTCCATAGAAGACTTTTTATTGGAGGGGTGAGGACGTGTGGTAAACAAAAACTACGAAGTGAAACAATCATATATTTAATCCACAGGCTACTGTTTAGTCCATCCAAATCCTATGCGTTTATATAGTCATCTAATTATTCAAAATTAGTGTTCATATCCTTTCTGAAACGATAGTTTGCAAATAAGGTTGAGAACTACAATATAAATGTTAATAATATGAATGCTACATTAATGATTCTTAAGTGCATCCCAACAAAGTAGCGACAAAAATAGAGTACCATTGCTAACGAAAATTATCTAAAAGTAATTCTGGTATCGTTCAGGACAACTTTCTTACTGTTTTATAAAACAACTTTCTAGTACAAAAATTTCTGAAATGAGAAATTTCTATATTAAAAAATTGCTTTAAAAAGCAGTAAAAAGTTACCCCAAACAAAACCTCAAAGAATCCATTAGCCCGCCAAAATGAATCAAAACCTATTTCTTTCAAATTATAACCATTGCTACCATTTAAATGGACCAAACATGGCCACAAAGTTGTAGGAAAAATTGTTATTCATATTTGAGCCATATTTTCAGATAATTTCATTTGGGATGCCACTCAAATATAGAGGGAGAGATTAAGAAAAGCAAAAGTAACAGTCAAAAGATAGCTCAAGAAGACCATGAACCCATAAAGCATACAATTCAGTCAATCAATACATGATAATAGAGCTTTATACCAAATTGCTAGAGCTTTTGTTTGCATGACTAGGAAGAAAAAAACTCATTATTTATGAACGAGATCTCTTTCTTTTCCAAGTGGAACTTCTACATCTTATCAGTTTCCCCAGCTCCCCACTTCTAAGCCATTGCCTGCAGTAGTTACATTGGGAGAATCTTAAAGAAGAAGAAAACATAAGCAATTGCATGGCTATTTCACAAGCATAAAGCCCACCCTAGCAAAATTACTAACAATTTTAAACGAATAACTAAACTGGAAAATTGTAAATCTCCAGCAATAATCAGTTCAAACCAGAAAAATTCAAATGCCTTAACACCCCACCTGTTATCGAAATGTTTGTTTGAAGGAAGTTACCCATACTAAATACTCATAAATAAGCATTTCCGGAAGGGGGGAAAAACATTAGTGAATCTATACTTTTGGATCAAGATTGTCAATTTCATTCTTGCTTTCACAGAATAACTTTGCAGTGCAAAGATCAAACCACAAATTATATCTTAAGAAAAACAACCTGTTAGAAATGTTCACCGTCCAATCAGATGTCCCAAGCAACCAAAAACTAATTCTACAGTGCACAAGCATAAGATCTGTCAACGAATGATCTCAAATCAATATTGAACTAAAGTCTAAACATTAACTGTATGTTCTTTTTTTTAATCATATTCGAATTTTCTATCTCTACTATAAAGGTCAAAGGCAATACTATTACATGTTATATATATTTTTTAATTTTTATTTATTTATTTATTTATTTATTTATTTATAATTTTTTTATACTATTACATGTTATATGCCGTTAGAATAATGCATATTTAGGAATCTAAGCCTAGCCTTAAATTGATATACCGAATATGGCATTTGAGTGTAATACAATCAAATCATTACCAATTTGATACAACAACAACATAAAACCTTTATCCCACTACGTGGGATCGGCTACATGAATCCTTTTTTTCCATTCTATTCGGTTAAGAGTCAAATTTTCATTTAAATTTAAAAAAAAAAGATAATTTTTAATATTTTCTAGCCAAGGCTTTTTAGGTCTACCTCTACCTTTCTTAACATAGGCCAAATCCAATATATCTACTTTTTTAATCTGGCCATCAGAAGGCCGATGTTTTATGTGTCTAAATCATCTAAGTCGACTCTCTGTAATCTTATCTGTCAGTAGAGCTATTTATATTTTTGCTATGAATTTTGATATTTGGGTGAAAATTTGATAAATAGAGGTAGTTGGCGTTAGTTTTGTAACTAGCCAAATTTTGGGTGGTATTTATGAAACTGCCCCTAACAATAGTGAGAATTGCTTACATGCCATCAAATTTTTGCATATTTAGAAATCTAACACCGGTATAAGAAATGAATCACCGAACCTATATATTTGCGTGTGCTGCAACCAAATCATTATGAATTTGACAAGCAATAATTATGAGGTTAGAATTTTGTCGAAATTTTAACATTTGAGTGAGGGATTTGAGAATGGATTTTGGAGGGCTTTAGTGATGTAAATAGCAAGCTTTTAATGGAATGTATAAAAATGCCACCTAAAAAAACATTCTATATTCTATAACAATATAAAATGCTGCCAATTGAAATGTCAATACAACATTATAGTTAGAGACAAGATGGACATCATATAATTGCTATTAAGATCTGATAGGAATGGATGGGATTAGTTTTCATTAATTTCCTCAAGTTTACAACCACTAAGTTCTGATTTCCCTTACTCATTCACTCAATGGTTTTTGATATGTCACATAGTCATATTTCCTTAAGTTAAACGAAAAAGGAGAAAGGCATTCAGACTCTGTTTCGTTTCAAGGAATTGAAAGCGGAGAAGAAAAGGAAATGGAAATGAAATTGATATATAAATTGAATTGAAATTAATTCTCACCCACTTGTTTGGTCGAGGAGAAATTGAGCGAAAATTCGGTTGATGAGGAATTAATTTTTTATTTCTTTTGAGAGGGGGATATGCCAATCACAACCAACAAAACCGAACGGATTTTCTTCCAGATTTCTACGAATTTTAGGTAGGAAATTGTCAGGGAAAATAATGCATTTGTTAAAGCTTTCAAAATAAATTTAATTATCTATTAATTACATTAAAATAACACATAATATAAAATTGTTAAGTAAAATAAATTTGCATTCATTCAATTCTTTCAAATCAAGCATACCTTCCCAGAACTACAGTCATGCTGGACCATACAAAAATTTTTGACAATTCAAACAGTTGCGCAACTGTACTAAGAAAAAAAAACCTTCAAAAGCAGAATCTCACCGTCAGGATCAAAGAAGAAGACCTGTCTGGTCTTCCCATCCGGCTGCGTCTTCTCAAAGTTCTTAATCCCTCTTTCCTAAAACAAAACCAATACGCGTTAAACACAATTCGGCAAGCCATGCCTTCAATTCAATCAAGTCACTAAGTTCGGATTGGAAAAGAAAACCTTGCCTTGAGAGATTGGACGAATTCGTCGTAATTAGAGACGCCGAAGGAGATATGGTGACCGCGAGGGAGTCCTCTCGGATCGGCGACGGCGCCTTCTGGCGGTGAGCCATGGGGCCCCTCTGGAAGTCTTGACTGCGGGTCGCGCTCGATTAGATGAAGGGAAAGGTTCGGAGAGAGGCGGAGCCAGATCACGTCAAAGTCTCCGAAGTTGGGCGTTTCGATCCTTTCGAAACCTAGCACCTACAGAGCATAGAGAAAGACAGTGAAAGAGAGGAAATGGGATGTATAAGAGGGGAGGGGCCGGGGTGCTACCTCTTCATAGAAAGCAGCTAGGCGTTTGACGTTTGGAGATTCGCGGGCGATATGGTTGAGCTTGAGTCCGGCGGCCGCCATGGAAGCGAAGAGGCGGAGGAATGGAGGAGTGAGCGGTGTGGATGTGGACCTTTTTGGATTATTTATGAGGATATATGTGGTGTCGTGGACAGCAGGACACGCGTGGGCTTAGAGGCGCTCATGTGCGTGAGCTGGTTTTGGATTTTCTTTGGCCTGATAAGCGGTTTAGGCGTGGGTCCCTTTTTTTTTTTTTTATAAATCTTCTTCATAATTTTGTTTGGCTTTTAATTTTTTTAGTTTTTATGGAAAACTCAAAAAAGTTTATTTTTTATAATTATATTCATTAAAATATTATGATTTTTAAAAATGTATTGTATGAATTAAAAATATATATATATATATATTCATAACACTCTTCCCAACTTATTTTTTTTAAATAATTATTTAGTTTTTCTATAAAAAAATGGATGTCGACTCTAATAGACCTTTAATTTATTGTTATTATTAATGAATCTAGAGATATTAAAGTTTTAAAATTAAATTTGGCACTGTGAGTTTTGATTTCATCAAACTTATAGTCAAATTGAATTTCTTTACGAGGCGAATCTAATGACACAAACATGATGTCATCCAAGCTCAAAAGAGCAGAAAATCAAGAGCTAAAAACATAACTGAAAATTTCAAAATATGAATTGAATGATCATATTATCTTCAAATTGACATGCTCATAGTTGAATTGAGCAGCTCAACGTGATAAATCCAATGACCCTAAGATAGCTTTATTATAATAACATTAAGACACATAAATATTAAATGAATGTTTTATGATCAAGAGAATCAAAATAGATTATTCGATGATATTTTGGATTTTCTTCATATTTAAGGGCATGCTACTCCAAAAAATATTTGCTCTCACTCCTTAAGGTGAAGTGCTTCATGGATGAGCTTGGAGTTGGATCCGGAACAAAGGCTTAAGATTTAATAGAACTCTAAAACTCTTTAAGGTGAAGTGCTTGATGGATGAGCTGGGAGTTAATTTTTTTTTTTTAATTATAAATATATCATTATTTTCTAGAAATTTTTATAATCCATTAGAAATCTGTCAGAAATATAAAAAAAAAAGACAGAAATCCAATGAAAATTCTCCAAAATTTTTGGTATACATTTTTTGGTGGAAATTCTGCAATAAGCATTTTTCCTATAGTTTAATACAATTGATATATGATAAATACAAAATTTGCTAATAAGTAAGGAAGGTTAGTTGTGAACATTATAATTAATACGAGTTGGCTATTAAAACTTAATATCCTCTTTGTACATAAGAGTGAGCTAATGAGCATTCCATTAAATAAAAAGATTTGTATTTTAATCATGGATGTTTTCTTATAATAGATTGGCTGATTACACCAATCGATGGATAGAGAGAGTGACGACTCTTAATGATTTAGTAAAAATCACCTGTGAATTAATTTAAAATTTATGAATGATAATGATAAGATAATGACTAGTGACAAACTGGTTGATAGTTGGGTTTAAATTAAAGATTGATGAACATATGGTTAGGGGTTAAAGATGTTCAAAACACTACTTTAAAAGTTAGATGTTTTGCTTATTCATAATCATATCCATATTTTGCATTTACATGATATCATAAGAATTGATTTAATTGATTCCTAAATGGAACTGATATAACTAACATTAAGACTGATATAATATGACATAACATATGATAAAGATATTGATAAATATTGATAGGCATATTGATAACTATATTGATATAGTATATTGATATGACATACTGCTATATAGGCAAATACATGGCATAATATTTCATATAAAGTATAATATAGAACCATAAACATGAAAATCACTGGTAGTGTTGTATTTAACATTATATTGATTATCTTGATATTTGATTTTCCAGTATATGATATTGATTTATTAATTTAATTGAGCTTTTCTCAGTTTGTTGTCATTGAGTTTTTCTCAGTTTGCTGGTTACATTGACTTGTATTGCTAGTGATTGATTGTTGTTCATATTGATAACTACTACTACTTGTTTTGTAATGATCGAGATATTGCATTAAAAGTATTGGTAATTTGGATTTTTGTTAGGATTTATAAGCTCATTATTATAGTTTAATTGATTTCAGGTTTAGAAAGAGGATCAATAGAGTGAGAATAATCAGTGTTAGAATTATAGGTTTAGTTAACTTTTTAATATTTTATTTTTTTCTTTTGTAACCAGAAATGTTTACTATTAGTTTCAAATTTTAGATTGAACTTTTGATTATTGTATATAGATTTTGATTTGTGATGTATATTGGTAGTGATATGATATTTAGATGTACATTTCATATATGTCATATGACCTTATATAAATGTTATCAGTCTTATCATATATATATATATATATATATATATATATATATATATATATATATATCAGTCATGTCTCATATCATATTTATATAATATTATATCAAATTAGTTATACAATTTATCAAGTATGCTCATGTGATATGCATATGTAAGTAAAGATAATATATTTGGCCATTTATGATATTTTTTCTGTATCAACTCCTAGAGTCCCCTTATATCAAGTAGGAATCTATCTCAATCACATCAGCCATGTTGCTAGGAATCAATCACATCTCACATATCATAAATTAGGTAACTTTCAAGGCTTTCAAGTACGAGGTGGTCGCTCCTTGATGTATCATGTCATATCAATTAATATCCTTATACCTCCAATTTCATATTAGTTAGGATTTGTAATATCTCTAATATTATTTTTTTCCTAATTTATGAAAATTTGACTAGATGAGTGCTACGATGTTGGGTTGGGTGGTACTGTGGCATTGAGCTATCAGATTTTTTAAGAATTTAAGGGAGTGCTGTGGTGCTAGATTAGGAGCATTGCAGTGTTGTATCAGAAAAAAATATTTTTGTATATAAAATATCATATTATAATTCATCAAAACCTCACACAATAGCCCCCTTCTCCCCCTTCTCCATTTTCCTTATTTGGTTGAGATAGAAGAGAAAGAAAAGAAGAGAGAAAATGGAAGAAATAGGAGAGAGAAAGCATGGACTGGCTTGTATTTTCTATCACTTCAATTAGGATAAGTGTTTTGATCATGGTAGGTAATCTTAATCCTACTTTTATTTTTAGTGATTTTGTAATTTATATATTTTCTTTCTCTTAATATTAATAAAAATATAATAATTCTCATTTTAATGATTTTTTTTTTTATTTTGTAACTTTTGAAATGTAGTAGATATCATTCTCATGTATATTTTAACTAATTTATATTAAAATTTCATTAGTTGCTTTTGCACATATATTATTTTGTTTGAAATGAGTAGTATAATATTTAATATAACATAATTAGGAGTCAATATCATATATATAGATATAGAATATATTATATACATATATTTATAATTCATTTAGTCAAATATGTATTTTTGACATACTACAATTATACTGATGAGTATAATGTTAATTGGATTAGTTGTATATGATGTTTGCTATTATGCTCTATTTGATATGAAATATGTGTAAAAGCAAGAAAGACTGATTGAAAATAATTGATTGATGCATGTTAGCTAGAGACATATTACCCTATATAGGAGGGTTTCCTGACGGACTTTTCTTTAAATAAAATTTATGATGTAATCCTAAGTGATATCAAAATAGATGCATAAAGTGGCTGACTGATATAACATAATATACCGACAAACAAGAAGTGGTGACTTTTGATATGAAAGTCACCTAACTTGTGATATGTGATATAAGATTGATTCATGGCAATAAGATTGATATGATTGAAACTAATTCCTAAAGAGTTGGCCTATATAATTGATATAGGAAAAATACTATAAGTGGTTAGATATCCTATTTTACTTGCATATGCATATGATATGAGCATATATAAAAAATTGCATAAATGACATGATATCATATGACATGCACATGATACATGATATAACTAATACATACATATGATATGATTGATAAGGTTAATACAAGGATATATGATACACAAGAAATATATGATATATATGTTCCATTGCATATGATAGAAATACATGATATACATGTATTGATGCTTGATATTACACAACATACATATAATATATGTATATTGAGTTAATTAGGCAAGTATATTGATCTACATGTAATGACATGTAGAATAAAATAAAATAAAATTTATGGAAATACATAAATTCATAACAAACCCTCTTTATTGTGCTTGAGATGAGTATAGGAAAGACAGAACATAATGATCCTTCATATGGCCATTGATTTTTTATTATGAACAACATTACTAGCTAGTCTTGATTTTCATTGCTCCCATAAAATACATTAATATTCATATTGAATTTCACTTGTTCTTACTGCTATATGATTAGAATGGTATGAATTTAATGATTACATACATATTATATATACTATCGTGCATTAATTTCAGTTGTAATTATAGTAACCTACTGAGCCATTAACTCACTTCGTGATTTTTACATTTTAGAAAGATGTCAGGATCCAATGGAGTGAGGTATATTAGAATTTCAAGTTTTATTTTATTTTATGTATTTTTAATTTATTCTTTTGTAGTTAAGAGTATAGAGAGATAGACTGATATAGTGATTGATTTTGTGGCTATTATAAATTAAATTCTGACAAATGAATATAAAAATGTTTTGATGTATATAATTTATAATTAGTTTTGTTGGACTTATTTATAATAATGACTTATTAAAAGCTCTAATAGATTAATTAAGAGATGAAATAGGCAATTATTTCATATTCAAGTTTTAGGGGGTGTCATAGGAATACACCATAAATCTTATTTAAAAGAAAGTTAATTGGCTCATAATCCTATATAGGGGTAACATGTCTCTAGCCAATCTGAATCAATCAATCATCTCTAGCTAATCTTTCTTGCTTTTAATTACATACATTTCCCATCATATAAATTATAATAATAGAGATCATATATACATCATATGTAACGGTTATGTTATATAGATCTATCAATTGTGTTAATCTATATGTATGTATTATGCCAAAAAGTATGTTAAACAAAATGAATAGGTATATCATATATGTTATGTCCAAATATATTATTTTAAC